CCCCCCCCCCCCCCCCCCCCCCCCCCCCCCCCCCCCCCCCCCGGTCGTCGGTGCTGAAAGGGACAGCGCACGACTCCAGCCTCGCGCTACGTGGGGCGTCCGGGGCGTCGCTCCGACCACGCGCCCCAAATCATCGCCCTAATCGCGGCACCGGAGCGCGCGCGTGCGTCCAAGTTTATTACCGATCAATCAGATCGATTGTTTCCACAATGAGGGGCTTTGGTTATTCGCATACATTGTATAAGGCATCAAAATTTGCTCACAGAGGCGTTGCGCCTTAATTGCCCGAACTTCAATCCATTTTCACTGCGTCCATTGATCCCCTCACACACACACACACACATACACACACACCCCTCCTTGTAAGTGCAGTGGCTCTGAGTGGTGAATGGAATTAAACAAATGAACCGCATCCCATCTGCTGTGTAATAACAATTTGATAAGCTATGTGCAGGCAGAGAGCAGGCAATCGAAACAGACCCGGGTGTTCTCTCGTGTCACAGTGTTGGAAAATGTGCGCAACATGTCCGATTTGGAGTTGCGCCGCTGCAAGCTGCAGCGCGAGGCAATGGCGCCACCTCGTGGCCAAATCTGCGTCACTGCAACAGCAGAAAGCATCCGGGAGGGGGTCACCCAGGGTCACCTGCAAGATGCAGGGTGAAGGAAATATTCCTGTTTGTAAAATGATCCACAGTATAATTTATGATTTATTGTCAAAAACAGGAACACGATTCACATTTGATGAAGCAGCATTAATAAGACATTCTAATAAGATATTCATAAAGGAATGCATTAGTGATAAGTCAATAGCCGGGCAAAATGAGGACATTTTTCTCCCCTAATAACTTTCGTTTTAGGCTGTCAGTGTGCTTTAAATGGATTTTATCATGAACAAAATACCTAATAAAAGGAACACTACACTCGACATACAGATTTCTGTAATTCAACTTATGAGAACACATCAGGACTCTCTAAGGATCGCCCACCACAACAGATAATATCCACTATGAGGTCTTCTTGACGAGGCTTTTTAAAGAAAACCACCTAATTTGTGGAAGCAGCTGGGAGCTGCGGTTTCCTGGTAACAGTGCTAAAAGAGGACAGTGATAATTGTGACAGGCTTCAGTCTGTCGCTGCTAATTATTTTTAATTGAATGCAGGTCAAAATCCACTTAAACATCCTAATTTACTGAAATAATAGTAAATGCTTGGTCCCTCGCAATAGAAGTAGTGTGGAAACGTAAGAGAACGTTCTATTCATGAAGCAGGTTGGCAGTAAACAAACACGATTGATAAACACACTTCACTCTTATCTCAGGAAATAGGAAAAAGACTAAGGACGAGTCCACTCAGGAGTTTAAAGCAGTCCGTTTATATTTATTAAGGGGTTGGTTTTAACATTCTCGTCACATCTGAAAGGCTTCTCTAACTCGTCTTGAAGTTCTCTAGAGAGCGAGCTTAACATATTACAACTTACAATGAAGGAAATGTCAGGATTAAAAAAGAAAATCTAAAAGCCTCTTGAGGTTTAATTCCTGCTCTGGTCTTCACACATTTGAACAAAAAACATGTTCCTCTTCAAATGGAATAAGATACAAATAAAGAATTAATGATGGAACAACACAAACTTAACAGTGACAGAGTGGCAGCTAGTTGGAAATGTTCCAAACTCCTGGTCAACCAACACAAGTAAATAACTATGGGACTACTAGAGCTATTATTTATATATCATCTGTGAGGATGACTCAATATTTACAATACATGTAGTCAAGACCGTGTTCTACAAGCATTTTCCATTATAAAAATAAAGTTTGGTCTGTCCATTTTTCTGCTTTTGTTCCATTTCATGGCTTTCAGTTTGAACAATAAGACATATCTACATTTGGTCTTCCTCCTTCATTTCCCCCCGAACTCTTACCAGTGTTTCAGAGACTACCATCAGGAGCTGGTTCTAAACACCTCCTTCTGTCTGAATTCACCAAAGCATGTTTCAAACAGAACTGATGCACAATTCAGTCCAAAAGAATCTGATTGAGCTCCTGTGTCTGTCAAAGGAGCAGGAAGGTTTGTGTAAACGTTTCAGAAAGCAATAGCTTTGCCTGCCAAACACACAGCTGTTTATTGAGATGAACACGTCCTCTATTCTCATCTGCAGAATCCTAAACCACCGGTGCAATCTGAAACCTCTTACACCTGCTGCTTAGGCACTAAGGATGTAGAACAACGCAGTGCTGTGTGGTGTCCGTGCTCTGAAAGGATGTACCAAAATGAAAATTGAGTCTTCCAGTTATTGGTTTCTAAAAGCTAAGGCAGTATGGCTGTACCTGCTGCGACCTGCAATATGGTGCATTCAGACACTTTACTCCTGATAAGGAAAAACATCCCCTCAGGTGAAGAAAAATGAACACAAAACCCGCCACAAAAAGCACAACTTGAAGGCTATCAAACAGACAGGCTATTACTGGGACTGTAAAGTCAGCTATATATAGATGTGGAGCGTTCAAAGGAAACACCTTAAGCATGCAGCCAGTCTGGGCTGAAAAGATGGAGAACATCAGGCAGATGTAAAAAACAGCACGCATGCATTTTTAAGGGGAAACTGGAAAATATACTTTGGAGTTTCCTTCTTTCGACCATAAACTTTCTTCCTGGAATGTGAGAAAAAGACTGGAGCTATAGAGCCGACTAAAGTGTGACTTATTTGTTTTTCGCTATCAACAGATTATATTTTCTAGTAAATATGAAATTAATTTGTGAGGCAAACATGGACCTTTGAGGATTGGAATTCAAATCAACAGCAGGTGAACCACCCAGGGCAGCAAAGACAACAGAGGTGGTCCAGACACCAGGAAATTAAACTGAGATGGGAAAGTGCAGGGTGAAAACACAATTTTATCTAAGCTGTTAGACGCATTACGTTTTTCTGCTGAGTCGATCAGGTTAAAAACAGGCTGCTCTGAGATGCAACTGTAATAAATAAGGTCAGTTTGGGACACTTTGAAGGACTGTGTGGGTCAGAATGAGCTTTTTCTAGGAAACATACTGAAATGCAAACTCTCTCACACACACACACACACACACACACACACACACACACAAACACACAAATCCAGCGACTACCAGCGTCATCCTCTCACTGAAGGCAGGGTACCAGGAGCAAAGCAGTACAATTCAGTCATCAGCACATGGACCCGTATTCTCTGTGGGGAATGCGGACATATGCACAGATTCAGCCTTCTTTTCAGTGTAGTCTGAGTGTGGGGAGCAGCGCCACCATCCAGCAGACGGGCTGGCTTCATGACTCTACACAAGAGTGTCAGTTTCCATCAATAGTTTTGGTTCTTAAGCCAAAAAAAGAAAAAGAAGACTTAGAGGACAAAATCCCTCGATCTTCACTCCTCATTGAGATTACTCCTGTTTTTTCCTTCATGCTCCAGCTCCTCCCTGTGCTTCTTCTGTTTGTCTGTTAACTTTCCAGTTGTTGGTCACGACCAGCAGTCTGTGAGAAAAGGAGAAAATAAGGGCTGAACAAGAGGTAAACTAATAAAAACAGAAGACAAAAACTAAAAAAAGACTTTTTCAATTGAGCAGACTGATGCACGGTTAAACAAACAGCAGAGGGGGCTGAGTAAGCCGCTGCTGAAGGGGAGAAGCACCGGTAAAGGGCTGTGCTCTTACGCTGTCTGTCTCACCACACCAGGGACTTGGAGCGGGTGCTGACTCCTTTCCTCCTGCCGGCTGCTGCCGCCGCTGCATTCCGATGGCTTCGCTTATGAGACTCCAGATACAGCTAAATTGAAAGAAAAGTTTATTGACTTTGAGACTGAGCCTACTAAGCTTTAAGAGTATTTTCGGTCACCTGTAGAAAGCAGAGCCACAGGAGACATGTGCTGAGGCAGCAACAATAATAAATGATCACACAGCATCAATAACTGTGTTAACTCTGTATTTTGGCACATTTCCTTTATTTTTTATTACAACAGGTCCTACCTTTTTGGCAAAGGCCCGCCCACACTGGTCACAAGCATGGAGGGAGAAGTTCTTTGTCACCCTGACTTCCGTGGACGAGCTGGCCGTGCTGCTCTCTGATTGGGGGTCGTGGCGGCGGGTGTGTGGGGTTTGGTTGCCGGATGGCGTGGCGGCGGAGGCGTTCCGTTGGTGGGAGTGCTTCTCGCTGCGGCGGGTCAGCGGCGGGCTGGCGGGCCGGTGCTGGTGGCTCTGCTGCCTCTCCTGCTTACGGGTGAGCGGGGGCGACGGGCTGAAGGCCGGCGATGACAGCTCCTGCTGTTTGCGGGTGACGGGGGCCGGAGGCGGGGCAGAGGAGGAGCTGGAGGGGGCGGAGGAGGCTGGGGGGGCAGCTGTGGAGCCCTCCTGTTTACGGGTGACCGGCGGTGAGGGAGAGGAGGAGGATGAAGAGGCGTGGCGCCCGTTCACCTCTTCTTTGAGGCCGGGGCTGGTCCTCTTGCTGCTGCTGTTGAGCACCACCTCGGCCAGCCTCTTCACCGCCCGGCTCTCCAGCTTGGGCATGATCTTTGCCAGGTACGCCGAGGACTTCTTGTGCACGACGGTCACGTGCCGCAGGACGTCGCGTTTGCGGCGGGACTCGTAGCGGCAGAGCGGGCAGCGGTAGAACTTGATGAAGATGTCGTTGCCGTCTGTGTGCAGCTCGATGTGCTTGGCTAAGTTCTGGCGGGAGCTGAACTGACGTTTGCACAGCTTGCAAAAGAGCTGCTTGAAGTCGAAGCCCACGGACAGTTTGGTCATCTTGGCAGCCATGTTAGAGCTACACACGTTGCCCCCCCGGGAGGCCGCTGAGGGTAAGGAGGAGGCCGTCTTTAGGCTGGAGGCGGCCTCCTCCTCCTTCACCTTGGGGGCACTGGGCACCGCTCCTTTACTCGTCCCAGAGCTTTCACTCGGAGACGGAGCGGGACTGCTGTCAATTTCCTCTTCCTCATCTTCGTCTGAGGCCTCCACTGCCTCCTCCTTTACCCGGACGCTGTTGCTAGCCCCCAAGTTAGGGCTGCTGGAGCGGGTTGGAGTGGCTGCCGGGGTGCTCGGGGTGGGTGTGGCAGCAGGCTTGTTACTTTTGTAGATCTTGTGAACGATGCGCATGTGTCTTTTCAACATGAGCTGAAAAACAAAAGGAAAATACATTGAATAAATCTCTTATATGCTCCCAGAACATCATTTCAGTTTGTTAGGTGGATCTGAAGGCTCTGAAAGTGGGAGTCAGTCGTCCGGCCGACCTGAGAGCTGTAGCTCCTCTTGCAGAGCGTGCAGCGGCTGGAGGTTGAGTTGGCCGGGGCGCTGGCTGGCAGCGGACTCTGAGGTTTGCCTTGGTTTTGGTTTGACGGGGTTGTTTTAGAGTTCACAGGAATGGACTTGGTGTTGGTGCCACGTGTTGGTGAGGAGTTGTTGCTCTTCTTGGGAGGCTTGACCTCCAGCGGCGGAGAGTGGCCAGGGCACGAGGTGCTGCTTTGTGTGACGGCGTCCCTCCGCAGACCTTGATGCACCTCGTCGAAGTGGCGGCGTACGTTGGCTTTGGTAGCAAAGCTTTTGAGGCACACAGGGCAGGACTTTCCAGTCGGTGTGCTGAGAGTTCGAGGCCGACCTGCAGCATCAGCAGGAATAACCAGCATTTGAAAGTAGAAACTGAAAGCCAACAATGCCACCGAGATAAACAGCAGATGACAATAATTATGTTTATTATTTTATGTTTATATATTAATGGTTTAATAATAATAATGTTTGATGGATGGCAGAATACAAAATCAATTCATATGAAAAAGCCACACACAGTCCATAAAAGCGAAGACGACCTGTCACTATTCTATTCTGTCCTCTTTTAAGTGTAAAATTAAGCTCTTTTAATCTTATGACACAATAAAAATCCAAAATTCACACTTTCACCAATGTCCACCAAACATTGAACGATGATTAGAAATACCTTTCACCATGGAGAGCAGGCTCGTTGGAACTGTGCGTGTCTCTGTGAACTTTCTGAGCTCTTCAAGCTTTCTCTGGTGCATTTTTCGGCAGTGGCGTCTGATACTGCGGCGGGAGTTAAAGTCCTGACCACAAAGGCAGCACGAGATAGTCACGTCTTCTACCTGAACAGGCGAGACAAAGAAAACTGGCTGTTTTTCCATCATAATAAGAAGCAACTTTCTCTGCATGTTGAATCTGAGCCTGTGGCAGTAGTCACTGACCCCACTATTGGAGCCCTCGTCTTCAGGCTGTGGTCGCTCCTCTTTGGGCTCCTCCTCTGGCTCCCATCTCCGTGGGCCCTGATTGTGTCCTGGACTGCTGTGGCCTTCTGGTCCACCTTGCTGGCTGGTCTGGTTGGTCTCCACACCCTCTGCTGCTTCTCCTTCCCAAGCCACTGGACTCTCTCTCTCACTGCCAGGGACAACGACACAAAAAAGGGAGGCTAGGGTAAAGCCTGTAAGACAAGTCATACTGTTCATCTACCCCACATGCTGAGCACGTGCCCCATGTCACTATGACTCCACTGAAGTAAGGCGCATTTTACAGGTTAAATATCAGCTTAGCAACCTGGTTGTGTGTGATGGAAATCTGGCCATCTCCTCCTCAGTGGTGAGGTACTGGAACACCGCCTTGTTGGTGGTCTGGATGGGCTCTAACCGGACCACATAGTCCGGTCCGTCCGCTTTGGGATATACGGCGTCCAATAAATCCTTCATGGCTACACTTTGCCTGTCATCACCAGGTGAGCCTGAAGGGAAACAACACCAAATGTCATTTTTACAGGTGCAGCTGCTGGAGGTTGTTAACAGCACACCTACAGCAACTGGAAAAGCTGTGAAGGCAGTAGCTGCTATCTTACATGAGACCTTTCCTTCCTGACCATGCTGGACTGAGCAGTGATCACATTTTAAGCTTCACAAAGCCAGCTGCCGTTTTTATGGTATATAAACTCTGGTTGGATGCCAGACTGCACATTGAAGAATAATTATGCTAAATCATAAAAACAATGCGAACCAAAGTTAAACCACTTGAACCACTGTAAAATTTAGTATGAATTGATGTGTTGGCTAAACAGATGCAGACCAGCTAAATGAAGAGGAATGGAAGACGAACCAGTCAATGTACCCTTTGGATTTTTTTTACCTAAACACTGAAGCCATACCACCTTTATGTGGTTGCAAATTGTGCACAGGTATCAGACAAAAGCTTTCAAATCTAAAAAGAAGTCTGAATTTAACAGAAGCCAGTCCCCTTTTCTCTTTACTTTTTTGTCCTGTTACTGGACTAAAAGGTTAAAAAAAAAGTGTGTTTCATGGCATTTGTATGACTGTTTGTGAGCACATTTGATTCTAAACACATTTAAACCCACAAAGAGTTCCCTTTCTACAGTAATCAGTACCACTCTGCGACCAAACAGGCATACTGTCATGGCTAGATGGTGGAATATTTACATATTTGTAGCATAGTGGGGGAGAAAGGTAACAACTTCTGTAGCGCATCAAAAACAAAACTGAATCACTAACTTGAAGAGGCTCCATCCCCTCCTGGAGTTTCCTTACTGTCACTCTTCTAAGGCATGGGCATAATGTGACTAATAATAAAACTAAGTCTTGTGGTAATAAAAGAGGGAAAAGTGTGCTCTGGGAGAAAGAAACTATTGATGGGTAGAGCATGTAACTGTGGGCACTGTGGTGTATGTGCATGTGTTCCCAGACAGGGGAGATTTTATAGGAATAATAAGCAGGAGACAGATGGCATGCATGTGAGTTAGCCTTGGAATGACGAAATAAAATCGTGAACACAAAGGATGTGTGTTTGCTTGTGTCAACTTTAAGTAGCCTAGTTGAACGTCAATGTTGAATTCCTGCCTCGTTCAGGGTCACACTTTGCCTCTGAGATCACTTCAAATGTCTTATTTGATGTCTTCAGCATTGGAAAAGCCACGGACTCAGACCTCACTTGTCTTTTGCTTGTTCTGCTCAATGATTTGCTTACTGAAAAATACACATACGTGCATCTTATTTAACTCTTGATTAAAATGAAGTGACAGCAGAGCAAGAAATACAAATATTTATGCAGAAATGTTCTGATTAAACGTGCGGTTGCATGCTGACCGTCAGATTCAGGCAGCCGTGACAGGCAGTAGTACTCCTTGTGTGTGATGAGGTTGGGCAGGCCTCTGAACAGACTGCGGCATAGTTTACACTCAAAGATGGTGTCCACCTCTCTCAGCAGCATGTGTTTCAGCTGGCTGGTGCCTGCAACACAAACACAAGCAATCAGGACTGCCTTACTTTTTTCACAGTTTTTGAAGAGGGCTCGTTATGTAAATGTCACCAAATCGCTTATCATAAAGGTTTTGCAAAGAACCTTTTCTGTGGGCTTTGTTTTGCTCAGCTTCACACTGCCTGAGGTGAGTGAGTTGGTGGAAGAAATCCTTTCTATATTCAGTCTTACGGCTGTTAAACAGGATTCTGTAATGCGGTAGACTTGGCTTCTTGTCGATACACAGTGTAGAGTGGAATACAGCAGATTCAATGTCATGTCGTGATTAAAAAACATGAAGTATTAACAAATGCCTCGAAGCTCTAGAGATTAAAATGAGCCTCATATATAGTGGATAATTTGCCAAGTGTGTGCGTGTATACGCTCAAATCAAAGTAAAGACTGCAGCTAGACCACTAACGGAAACACAGTGACAGATGTGATGTTTCTTTTTGCCTTCTTCTTTATCGTGTCTGTTAGGCCCAGCTGTAATTTGCAGGCAGATGCAGGACTGTACATCACAAAAGCAAGAGACAACTGCACTGCCTGGAAGCAATGCCGGCAATAAGTCAGACTGGTAGCGCAGGTAAATCAATGAATTACCATTTTTATTTGAAATATCAAAGTCAAACTTTAAGAATTGATGTTTAAAAATGCTCTGAAAATCTGGATGGTTTTTAGGAACTTAAATTCGAGAGTGCATTAAGTCTGTTGTCTGTTGATCATCTGTGTTTCACTGTGTTGAGTTTCCCTCAATGTTTGGGTTCAAACTGTGCCAAGTACAGTACTGTACAAGTCAGTCAGGTCTGTGGGGAATATAGAGGTCAGAACACAATAAAACAATGTCAAAGAAAGAGTGCATCGCAAATGCAAGAGTGGGAAACAATGGAAAAAAGAATTACCAGTTTCTTTCATTTTTTTATTAAAATCTGTATAATTTTACAAAATGAGGAATATGCTTACTTTCCTTTTGCATTACTTTGAGGATTTTTACTATTGACTGGACAACAATATCTGACATTTTATAGGTCAGAAATATTCTTACAACAAGCTAGAGAGGTAATGTCTCTCATCTGGCTTGGGGATAAGTGGGGATCCTGTGGGAATAGGTTGAGGAGATGGATGTGGAGAGGAGAAGAGATCATCATCTGTTAATACTGCTGCCATTGGGCCTCACCCTGGGAAGCAGTATAAAAATGGATGAATGGGTGGATAGATCAGTGTGTGGACAAATAATGAAAGAGATCATTTACTATAGCTTTAGGTCTAAAAATGGATTAACCTCAGATATTATAACTCAGCAACCACGCGACCGTGTCCTTCTTCCTGTTTGAAAGCCGATTGCTTCATTACAGAGATCTGGGTCGCAATATCTCTGGGCACAGCACCATGTCAAAAGAAGACATATTTAAAAGAAAGGTAGGAATCTAGGAATGAGATTATGAGAGAAGGAGTGAGAGACAACAGGAGAACCAAAGACACTCACCAGACCGAAAGCATTCAATTATCTGCTGAATCCCCGACTTGGACGTGGGCAGAGGCTGCTGCAGCAGAGGAGGGTCCCCAGGCTCCACGCAGAGATCTACACAGAGCAGGAGACACAGTGTTACCGTAAAGCCCTTTGGATCAAATCAGAAACAGGTAGCCTGAGAAATCCTGGGCAAGGTATACAGCAGAGTGGTAGAAAGAGCGCACGCAAACAGGTCTGTGCAGAGCAGAGATCGACTCTGACCTGATTACCCTCCATCAGACACACGCCGTCTCAAACACAGCTCCGTCTGCAGGACATTTAGCTTTTGAGATCAGTATATCAACAGACATAAGAGCAGATGCCAACATAAAAAAATGACAAAGATTTTTACAAAGATAAGCTTGGTTGTGCTTGTGTCAAGGCAGACTGACTGAGAAGCAGAGAAGAGAGGAACGTGATGACATCCCCCCCCCCCCCCCTTCCTTTCTGCCCAACGCTGCTCAGAGCCAGCACACTGCCTTTTCATCTTTCACAACAGGACGATGACCTGGAAGGCATTTACCGATGCATATTAGAAAAGGTTGTTTGTCTCAATCACTCAAGGGGACGGGGTCAGGTATGAGGCAGCATTCCTGATGGTGGTGGATCATCAGCGATTCAATATTTTCAGTCGCTTTTTAACTCAGTTGTGCAGCCTTGGACCGAATAAAAGAAAGAAAGCGTTACAAGTCATTTTCATTTATTGGTTCACAAGAAGCCTTATTTTTCCTTTCTTTCCTTTCTTTTGGATGCTGTATTGATACAAGCCAGGCAACAAACAAATGAGACGGTGGTTTGGGTGATAAAGCTATCTAATGCTTTATAGAGAGAATTCTTTTGATGGAGTTGTTACCACCACGGATTCTGAAATCATTCTCAGACTAATGAAAATTATAGGGGATATTGTTTCTGTAGCAGCAGGAAGGCTTTTGGTAACTAAAATGAAAACGATCCAAAAAACAGAGAGTCAGTGTTTCCAGCTGCAACAAAGAGGCTGTGTCTGCTGGTTCTGAGGTTCAGGACACACAGCTGTCAATGACAACATGATTCATTCAAAACAATCATTTCAGCCCAATCTTTTCAGAGAGTTGTGGGATTTTTGTTATTTTCCCAAGATAATGTTAACTATTTTCAAGTGAAAGAGATAGAAGTCAGTTAAGTTCATTTTGAATGATTTTGTGCTGTTTGTGTACAGACATACGCTCCTAGTGTGTTAAAAGGTAAGATGTGTGCTCTTTCCTGACCTCATCTCAGGGTTAGACGCTGTTCACTGCTGTGAGACCAGCAGCGAGCAGGTAAACTTGTTGGCCACATCTGCTGCCTGTATGCGTTAAAAGTGATGAACAGACAGCAGACCCAGTGACACATACAGAGGCTGGAACACTTTCCTCATCACCATCCCCCCACGACTCTTTGTACAAGCTGCTATAGTCCCAGCACTCAGGGTCAGAGACCCCATTGACCTATTGCCCCACCCCACACGCACACACACAGGAAAGTAAAAGACAAACTACACTCACTTTTACCACGAGTGTCGCCAATTGTTGCCTCAGCAGACACACCGCAGGTCAAATCACAGCGAGAGAGTTCATTTGAAAGACATTTTCATCAACTTTTTCAAATGGTGGAACGATGACGGTAACTGAAACCAAAGTCAAGTGATCAGAACTAAATCTTTTAAAGGAAAATGGGGCTCAGTTTGTGGTCAGATTACAGAAAATTATTCTGAAAACAATCTACATTTTTATGGGAGCATGTGAGGACATTTTGAATCCTGCTTCAGGTTCCTGGGAGGACAAGAATTATGTTCAAAACTCAAGTCTTAAAATGGGAAAACTGCATACGTCTCTGAATATCTTTCAGGAGAATTCCAGGTCTATTAAACTAAAACCATCGATGACACACAGGCTGACAGAGACATCTGAAAGCACAGCGGTGATCACAGCAAAATGCTCCACCACCTTTCTGTACACTTCTCTGTGGGAACCCATCATTTAGTTTTATTTTCAAACAGATAAGCCGCCATACTCCACTGCTCTGGCTGTGGAGCCACACAGGAGGCTGATAGACACTTTTGGCCTGAGGGTGGATCAATCAAAGCAGCAAAACATGCAGAGGTTTAAAAAATGAAAACGAAATTAAGCACACCTGTGCTATGACCATGGTTGCCGGCGGTGGTCTGCTGATAGTGTTCCTCAGTCTGGCAGCTCTGCTCTCTGGTCTTACTGGCATTGGCCCCTTGGGGCTCAGGCATTAGAGGGGGAATGGGCTTCCAGAGAGGCTTGGATTGGGGCTGGGTAGCAGAATTAGCCTGTTCCTGGACATCCATCGGGGTCTCCTTCTGGCCCAAACTCTCCGAAGGCGGCCCAGCTGAAGCAGAGGTCTGCGGATGGACGTCATCCCCACCTTTAGGTTGTGCGGGTGGTGGATGTTTGGTGTCTAAATGGAGCTGGCCTTCCTCCATCTCTGCCTGACCAGCACTCTGTGAGGAAAAAAGACAAACAGAGAAAACAATAACTGATAAATAAACAAAGCCACTGATCTGACCAGTTATTAAAACAGGCAAACACAAGTAAGTTAAAACACAGAATTATTTAATTTTGCTTTGTTAACTTTAACAGGAAGTCTACTGAGACCTTATAGCAACTAATTTCTGGTTAATGAAACCATTTTCATAGTTAAAAGAAAAAAAAGCAAACTGTGGTATAAGTTTAACCTAAACTAGTCTACTACAATCACAAATATTTGCTGTCCCAAGCAAGCTGAAAGAACATAGTGAGTCATAACAGTTGGCTGTGAACACCACCTCTACATATGTCTGGCATGTCATGTGTCCAGAGAATCTAGAATATTTGTGAGCAACATTAACTTTGTCCTACATAGTCGCCCTTGAGCAGATAAGTGACTCCACATCAACTTTTCAGTGTGCATACTTCCGTCTGTCAGGGAGAGTGTGAGTGGTGTTGTTTCTCTCCCCGTGCTCAATCGTTTCTCCTCTCCCACCCACCAATTTATCCTCATTTTCTCCCTCTGTCTGTGTCTGTCTCACTAACTCCTTGTGTCCCTGCCGTCCTTGAAGACAGATAAATGACTGTCCATAAGAGACATTACAGCACATTACCACGTGAATCATTCCACACACACAGCTAACCATGACATATTCAAACCACCAAAACCTAACTTAGATTACATTTGTTAGCTTAGACATATTTACAACACACACCTACAGCTCATCACAGCCTCTGAACACACACATTTCTATCTCAACCGGAACAAGGGAAAGACCCAATAAGATGGCTTCCATTTCCTATTATTTAACTTTGTCAAAAAGCAGAAGGTTTAAAGAGCCTTCAGGTAATTCCAGCTTTCAGCTGCAGTTGAATTCAGGCAGTCAATCAGCCAACTATTCATGGCTCATTTTCTTTGGGAAGAAGTGGGCACAGAGTATGAGAGAGGGGACTGATTAGAAAAGGTGAACAACCAGTGAATTTCCACCCACCATTAGCTGAAGCTAAGAATAAAATGGGAAACTTGGTTTGCAGGGCGCATGTATGAATTATTTGGATGATTATTAAACATGACTAATATTACAGTCATATCGTGACTCACATAGCATACATCAAATGATAATGATCCCAGTTTCTTCCATTATTAGCCTTATTATAAAAACACATTTTGCATTGAGAGGCTGTGATGAGGATTTCAAGCATTTAGACAGTTCTAAATCCTTTGTCTAAATCCTTAGTGACTAAATATCAACCGGAATGCAAATAATAGACAACAAAAAATCCACTCACGTTGGTGTCTTTACACAAACTGCTCAAGGGTAAAATATCCATTGTTCAGTAGGCTGCATAGTTTAATTTCTGTCATTAAGGAACTTTTATGTTCTTTTCACTGTTAAAAACGTGACAATGAAAGTGGATGGATGTCCTGTACAGTCCAGAGTATCTGACTGGACCCTGATTGGTTGGTATGGAAGTCACAGAGGACACTTAAAGTTCTCTGCTGTTGCAGAAAGTTGTCGACATGTCTGCTGTGTGGAAATATAAAGCACATAAGCTGAAATTTAAATGGAAAATGAGATCAGAACAATAACTGCTTGTAAAAATGACAGATTAAAGTTTTCATTTTGGAAGACCACAGCTTTATTCTAAAGAAATATTTATTTCCTCTGACTGCTGAATCAGAGGCCACAAATTGGTCAAAGTCAAAGGATTGATTAATAAATTGCCCTGATTGACCACTCAGTGGTTGTTATCTTTTATCGACCTCTCTCTCTTAGCATTACACACCTGACACAGCACAACCCGGGCAGTTTGAAAAGGTCTGCTGCCCCCTGCACTGTATTTGATCTGATATGTATGAAATTCTGATGCTCATCAGTGCTTAGTCTCAGTGTACAACCAAACCCTCATTTGCACAAAAACATATGACAATCTCTGGGTCTTATGTCAAAAGGGTTTGGGATTGCTATAATTTAATTCAATAATTGATAAAACATAATTAGCATGTTAACATTTAGGAAACATGATTTCATAACCAGTTGGTGAGATGGGACAAACTAGACAACAACATCTTGGTATTTTGTCTTCCAGTACCTGTCTGCGGGGACAGTGAGAGCTCTTCCTCCCAGATGACTTGTGGGCCTTCACCATGCTGCCAAGACTGGCCTGCTGCACCAGATGTTCACTACCAGCATACACCTGTAACCATGCAACAAGACTCAGCATGAGCAGGGTACCGCACTGAATGAAACACCACGTTAGCCGGACGTGCAGGTGCCCGCTTAAGCTTGTACACAGTTTTCATGTTTGTTGAGTTGCCACAAAGTGTTGGCAATACTGATACATGTGTGTCTGTGCATCAGAAAACATAAACCGTGACAACACTGTTTTGTTTTTTAATGTACAAAATTTCTGTCAAAATGATAAGTACATATATGTTCAATGCTAATCAGAGGTATGCAACTAAAAAAAACACTGCATGCCTTTTCTTTTAGAGCAACATTTAAAAAAACATGAAATTATTTCTTTAAAACAATTCACAGAGTTGTTAAACCTCATGAGTACAGGGATCAATGACAAAATATTCTACCTGCCAAAATGCACAACTCATTTGTACCGCAGTATTTTGTGTGAAAGCAAGCATTTGAGAACACAATCAAAACTGACGGAATTCAGTGTTTTACTGGCTGTTAAGTGCTTTATGACACAGGTGTCCCACAATACTCATTCAACTGCCATTCACATAGCCATCAAAAAACATTAAACCCACAGCGATTAAGGCCCACCATCACTGTGTGCATTTAAAACTGAACTCCCCCTCTCTGGGCAGGGATAAAAGGATATTCAAACACTTTTCTCCCTCTGAACACTCTACAGAGGTTGACTTTCCCTTACAGACTGCAACCCACGTGGAAACTGTTTGGGTAGATTTTTTCCTGCTTAAAAGTTGATAAAATTATAATTTAAATAAGTTAATAGCTTTCACTGCATTTGAAAAGGTGAAATATAAGCAGTTTGTGCTGTGATGTATTCATGTAACGCTGTAGTCAGAGAGTAGAAATGGAGAACTGCTTCTTCTACTGGTGGGAAGTCCATTGTTTGAGGAGTTTGTGATACTGGTTGTCCCACACTGGATGATGTGAAACATTTGGAGTTTCATTCAACACTGTGGTCACACATTTGATGTCAATCGTAAAGCTTGACTAACATATGCTGCTGCCCTCTAGTGGTCTGCAACTTCACCTGTTCATGAGCTTCAAACACTTAATTCTGGACTAAAGATGGTGCCTTAAGTTATTCAGACTTATTTCAAAAAGAAAAAAAACACTTCTAAACCCAATTACCTTAAAATCTATCCACTTTTTTGCAGCATTTAGAGAACAGGGACAAATTAAGTTAAAGCATCCTTCATAACATTGAAATCACCTGCTCAGGACAGAATGAGAAATTACATCAAATATACAAAGTCCAAAAAAATAAACAGATAAAACGGAACTATGTAAAAATCGCTTTCAAGTTAAGCTGAAATGGTCTACCGTACTGTGTTCTACATTCATGATAAACATTATTTCAACAGTGCCAGTGTGTGGGATGGGAGCTCCAACCCCTCCCCTCCAGCCCACAGGAGCACATGCCGACTCAATTGAGGATGCTTTGTAGTTTAAGAAACTGTCCAGCAGAGGGAGACAAACAACATATTTCAAATGTTTTCCTTGGTAAAAAAGTTTTGGTCTTGTGATGTCTCCAGACCAGAGGAACCCAAAGAGGCAAGAGACCAGCGTTTCCACGACAACGCCAGACCTTGTTCTGGAAAATAACACCACCGGAATTATTCACTCAATAGTAAATAAAACATGTCCATTTTGTGACAAACAAGCCTGAAATTACTCATAACTCCTCATAAGAACTGAGTTAAGTGATTCATCCCTTCTCTACTACACAAAGTGATTTAATTTTGGTCATTTTGAGGAGAAAAACTAGCCTCAGTTTACCTTTGTACTACCATTTGTAGCTTGTTCCCTGAAAAATAAAGTGAAAGGAAAAGCTATAACAAAAAACTATTTCTGGACCTTTGAAAACCTCAAACAAGTTGTCCTTTCTGTTTCAAATTCAGAGACTATTTCTGAACCCCTACTGTTAGCGCTGATGAAAAACCAGCAATGCCGTTTGCAATAAATCAACAGCAGAAGCTACTTGAAATGATGAAACTGCTTAAAAAGCTCAAATGGAGCCTCAGTTGAAGAAGAGCAGAAAAGAAAATGTCAGCATGCAATAAGCGAAATGAGGTATTAGTCTAAAACAAATGGCTGCTGTTAGATGGGCCCGTGTGTTGTGAATATAGAAGTTTGTATAGTTTTTGGCAATATGAAAATCAAACCTGTGTAACAAGTCAAAACAGAGTAATGCTTCATGCAAAGAAGGATGCTATTCCGAAACTATGTCCCAGAAAAAAAAGGGTCAAAATAATTCACTTTAAAAGATTAAGATAAAGTAATAGACAACACATTCCCATCACTTCTGTTATTTTAATACAGGAGGGGAAATTGACATCAGACCTGAATGGTATATTATACTTTAAACCTAGAATATAGCTCAGCTTATCCAAGAACTGAGGTCAGGAAACAACCTTGTCTGAACATTGTGATCCTTTACAGGAAAATAAGAATTAATTTAGTTGCGATAATCCCTCCAGGAGGTACTAAATTTCAAGCTCGGGTGGACTTATCCCTCCTTCACTTTTGACTTGTCAGAGGAAAAAAAAAACTTCTGATGTGAAAACTTTGGTATATTTTTCCTTCTATAGCTTGAAAAAC